TGTGTTTCCTACTGCCAAAGGGGCCCTTTAGAGTAGTGAGAGAAGATCTTCACCCTGAAACCCACAGCGTCCCTTTTCAGCAGGAAGTAGCTAAGAGAATACGCCATCCCCTTTTCCTTATGACTCAGGGTGAAGTCTCTCTCAGGGAGGAGTGATAGGGAATGGCAAAGAACACACCGACAAAGGAGATTAATCAGAACTGACTTTGACAAGCACTGTGGCAATTGGACAATTAAAACAGACATTCGGATGGCGGGAAAGAAGAACAAACTGGGGAGGAGGGTGGAGAGAATGGTGCGGCAATGAAGGAGTGAAAGCCCAGAATCCCTGTGAATGTTCATTGAAACTAATAAAAGTTAATAATAATTAAAAAAATTTAAAAAAAGAGGGACTGAAGTGATGACTGTTACCATGGACTTGAGTATGACATAGATCATTACAATGGTGCAGGATAGGGCAAGGCTGAGATCTGTTGTTCATAAAGTGGCTGTAAATCATAGTGGACATAATGGCATCTAACAATATATGGATAGTCTAAGAGATCTCTGGTGACCTAGTGGGAAGGAGTTGCCCTGTCAACCCAAACACGGGCAGTTTGAATCACCAAATACTCTATGAGAGAAAAATGGGCAATCCCATCTTACATGATTTACAGCTTTCAAAAACCTACTGTGGAGGGTCAGCTATGAGTCAATAGTGACTCTATGGTATATAACAACATGCGAACTTTACTAAAAGTTATCAAAATATGAAGCACATAATTATAAGTAATCTTTCAGAAACTTCTAAGAAGTAGCTTACCAATAAACACAATGCAACTTAAAATCAGTTAATCAGTTACCTATGTTTAACTGGAGATCTGGTGGCCTAGTGGTTAAGAATCTGCACTGCTATCCCGAAGGCACACCATTTGAATTCACCAGCTGCTCTGTAGGAGAAGGATGGATATTTTCCTCCAGCATGATTGTTGTTTTTATGTGCCGTCATCTGCGACCCTATGTACAGCAGCCCTGAACACTGCCCTGTCCTGAGCCAGTATCACGGATTCCAACACACCAACCCCTTTTGCCCCAGTTACTGTATCAGTCCATCTCATCTGAGGTCTTCCTCTCCTGTGCTGACCCTCCACCCTTCTGAGCGATTACTGCCTTTGAAAGCACACTGGAGGGTCAGCTATGGGTCAGTTTGAACTCAATGGCACACAACCACATGCTTCATTACAACAAATCAAATAAATATTTTCTAAACCTACAAAGTTGGCAATCTGATGCTGAATAATAGTAATACCATTAACAAAGACCAAGTATATTATTAAATACTTTAAAGCAATCTGTTAGCCTTATGCTGAAAAAAATGTGTTACATGCATTTCTTTAAAATGACAGCACAGACTTGACAGCCCTGTATTCAGAATACTAAAGAATTCTCTTAAGTAAAAAAAATGGCTCAAAATCCAGACAATATTTTAAGTCAATTTTTTATTATTATTAATTTTAATGAAAATTTACAGAGACCTTGGATTTCCATTCAGACATTTAACATTAACTCATTAAGTAGTATGGCAATCCTGTGGTTTTAGTCCACCAATCACTCTTCAAGAGAGAGATATGGTAATCTGCTCCCATAAAAAATTACAACCTTGAAAACTCTACACAGTAGTTCTAGCCTGTCTTACAAGGTCACTCACTGTAAGTCAGAATCCTTTAGTGGCTGCAGGTTTGATTGTTGTTGGCTATAGTTATCTTATTGACATTCTGCCTATCTTGTGTATTAATATACTTCTAAGATCTTTTTTAAAAAACTTAATAATCACTATCATAGTAAATACGATTTCATGTTGTTACCCTTTCTTGTATGGATATTTATATTATGAAACACAATTTTAGCATTTAGAAACCAGCAAGGCAAAAATACTTTCTACCTGCTTCAACCTTATGGTCTTCAAGATGGAATCAACTCATGGATGATTGTCCAGCAGGTTTTCAGAGGTTGTAAAACACACAGGTGACTGATCATCTTTTTCCCAAGCAGCAGCTGGTGGATTCAAACCCTATCCTTTGTATTGGTAGTACAACTTATTAGGCCACCAAAACTCCCTTTCCACCTTATTGTTGTTGTTACATACAATTGAGTCAGAACTTCTCTATAGTTAACCCTTTAGTGTGTTTTCAGAGACAGTAAATTGCACAAGGAGACTTGCCCATCTTTCTCCCATGGAGCAACTGGTGGATTCAAACCGCATGCCTCTGAGTTGGTAGTGCAGTTCCTTACCATTAAGCCACCAGAGCTCTCTAATATGTAATTGCTAGCCTTTTTATTTTAATTGGTTCTGTGTGACATTGCCCATTTCATCTTTTTTTTTTTTTAAATTTTATTTCATTGTTTTTTGTGTGTACCGTCAAATCAGATCTGACTGGTACAGGAGGAGATTGTTCCTCCTTCTCCAGCAGAGCATCTGGTGGATTTGAACCGTGCACCTCTGAGACTGTAGTTGCAGCTTCTTGCCACTAGGCCACCAGAGCTCGCCCCATTTCATCTTTTAATCAGATAATTTGTCTTTACCTTCTTTTCCTTTGTTAGTTTTGCTGGTGGTTTGTCAATTTTATTGACCTTTTCGAAGAACCAACTGCTAGTTTTGTTGATGGCTTCAATTGTTTTTGTCTTCTATTTATCTTTGCCCTAATTTTTATAATTTCAGTTTTTTTAGAGGGTGTTTGGTTTTCTTGCTGTTCTTTTTCAATTTGTAGGAGATGTTGGGTTAGAAAGTCAATGGTCATTTTTGTCCTGCCTTTTGATGTGTTTGCTCATTGCTGTAAATTGACCTCTGATTACTGCTTTGGCTGTTTCCCAGAGATTTTAGTAAGTTGTGTTTTCATTGTCATTTGTTTCAAGGAACCTCTTAATTTTTTATTTCTTCTAGTACCCAATCATGTTTAAGGAAGGTATTGCTCCGCTTCAAAATGTATGGGTTTGTTTTCTTTTTTTTTCCTTTATTCTCTTGTTATTGATTTCTAGCTTTGTAGCATTGTGGTCTGAAAAGATGCTTTGTATTATTTCTATGTTTTTAAATTTATTGATGCTTGCCTTGTAACCTAAAATGTGATCTATTCTTGAGAACGTTCCATGCACACTGGAGAAGGTATACTGTGATTTTGGGAGGTGCATTAGACTATAAATATCTATGGGATTGAGTTGGTTTATTGTGTGATATAATTCTTCAGCATCTTTGTTGAGTTTCCTTCTGGTAATTCTATCTTTTCTTGAGAGTGGTCTATTGAAGTCTCCAACTATTAGAGTTGTTATGTGCCATCGAGTTGCTTGCGACTCATAGCAACCCTATTTACAACAGCCCTAAACTCTGTCTGTCCTGTGCCAATCACACTGTCTCTGACACACCCATCCCGATTACCCCAGTCACTGAATCAATCCCCCTCATAGAGGGCCTTCCTCTCCTGCGCCTTCCTCGCTGCACTGTCCCTCCACCCTACCAAGCACGATGTCCCTCTCCATGGATCAGTCCCTCCCTACAACATGTGTAAAGTATCTTAGATGGAGCCTCAGAATCCTTGCCTCCAGGGAGCTGCCTGGTTTAACCCTTTCCAGGATGAATTTGGTTTTTTTCCTAGAAGTCCATGGTACCCTCAATACTATTCTCCAGCACCACAGCTCAAAGGTATCAATTCTCCTTCTATCCAACTCTTGGTGGAAGATTCATCAACAATCTGCATTATGCAGATGACACAACCCTGCTTGCTGAAACTGAGGAGGACCTGAAGCACCTGCTGCAGAGGGTCAAGGAAGACAGCCTCCAATATGGTTTGAGGCTCAATATCAAGAAGACAAAGATTCTCACCACTGGACAAACTGGCAGCATCAGAATGGATGGTGAAGAGATTGAGATTGTTCACAGCTTTAGTTTGCTTGGTTCCACAGTCAACAATCTCAGCATCAGTAGCCAGAAAATTAAAAGATGTATTGCCATGTGAAAGTCTGCTGCTGGGGACCTCTCCAAAGTACTGAAGAGCAATGGTGTCTATCCAGAGACTAAGGTGCATCTGATACAGGCCATAGTGTTTGCTATCACTTGTTATGCATCAGTGACTATTATAGTAGTATTGTCTATTATTGGCAAAATACACAAAATATAAATTATTCAAATGATTGAAAGGTGCTATGGTTTAAAGGATGCTACAATTAGTATATTTACCCCATATATAGTTCTAAGCTTATTGGAATTTTTAAGTAAAATTGTTGTAGTACCTTATAATAAAGGGAGAATTTTGTTGTTGTTACATCGCTATTTCAGACCCTCTGTGCCAAATTCAATCTCTGAATTATAATAGAATTGAAGTGACTTGCCAATGTTGTCTTGTTCTTTAAGTCAAACTATTGGACCATTAATCTTTATCCCAGACCACTCTTTGTTAAGCTTCTGAATAGTAACGATTAACTACGGATGTCTATAGGGTTAATATGTACGAAAGTCAGCTCAATCACAGTTCTTTTTAACAATTTATTTTATTGCTTTTAACACAAGAACATTTTACTTTAGAAATTTTATTAGTCATATATAATTAATAGTTGAAAGATACAAATCATGTTAACTAGTAATAGCACGCAGTTATATATTATATAATATGAAAATAGACAAATTCTCTTTAATAATGTAATTTTTAAAGTAATACCATAAAATAAAATTTTAAACTATATTCAAACCCATCTGCTAACTTTAAAAAAAACTATCAATGAAAAAATGCAATATAGTTAAGCATTATGAAATTAAATTCCCTTTTCATGCTTAGGAAAGGATAGAAGATTTAAAAGAAAATTTATATTTGTTTTAAGTAAATCTAGAAAAGAAATTCAAAGAGTGTCTCCTTCTGTATGTTAAGGTACATATTTTCTTTAAGAACTAGAGTGTTTTCAGAGCATAGCTATCAGTTTTTCATTACAATAATATTGTGATACTACAGTTTAAATTTTCAACTTAAATACACAACTTTATCTGTGCAGTGTGTTTGCAATCACTATAAACCTCTGCCTCAGGAATTCTCTCTTTTGTATGATAAAGTTTTCAACAACATTGGCTTCTTTGAAGAGTTCATCTATCTCATCAATGTAAGACGCATCTACTGCTGCTCTTTCACTAATGGGGGGAAAATTATGTTAAAATATTTATAAAGTCCAAACACACTATCATAGTGCTATTCTTTACTACCATATTATTTCTTATCAATTTCATTTAATGACTTTGTACACCAAGAAGCCTTGTAAATGTATTCCTCTTTAATCCCTCAAGTATTTTTGACTTCTTAGTAAATCTCACTCAACAGAAAGCAACTCTTACATGGCATAACTCTAATACTAAGCTGTTCTTTTAGTAGCTTCACAAACTATTATTCAAATACAATGACTGTCTAGGGATTTTTCTTAAATGCCTTCTGAAACATGATCACAGGTCAACAAAATATTCAAATTTTACTTTGAAGATATAAAAATTTTTCATTAAAGTTGTTATTGTACCTTATACAAAAAGGGTACTTTTTAACCAATATTACTATAATACATCCTACAGTCTAAATTCAATTTCTAAATTATATTAGGAATGAAATTACTTGCCAAGGTTATCTTCAGCCAATCTCTTATGTGAAATACAATAAATATTTAATTTTTGCTTTTAATATTGTTCTATTATCATTCATTTCAGCCAAATTTTTTCTCAAGAAAATTTTTTTTAATTTATTTTATTTCATTATTTTTTGTGTGTACCGTCAAATCAGATCTGACTGGTACAGGAGGAGATTGTTCCTCCTTCTCCAGCAGAGCATCTGGTAGATTCGAACCGTGCATCTCTGAGATTACAGTTGCAGCTTCTTGCCACTAGGCCACCAGAGCTCACCTCAAGAAAAATTTTACTGACAATTTAACATATGTCATACATTTAAAAAATATAGCCAGCCTAGTAATACTTCTGGCAGTAAGAAAACAAAGGACATTTCAAGAAAAAATTAAGATTACTACCTAAAAATTATTAATTTATTAGATTAACACTTTTTTAAATTAAAAAAATACAATTACTTGGATACCTTATTGTGCCAACAAAGTTGCTGTTGTCGTTATGTACCATCAAGCTGGTTCCAACTCAGAGCTGACCCTCCAGTGAGTTTTCAAAACAAGTAAATCACACAGGAGACTGTCCATCTTTCTCCCATGGAGCAGCCGGTGGATTTGAACTACATGTCTTTAGATTGGCAAAGCATCTCCTTACCACTAGAGCTCCCTGACAAAGTAACTTCCTTCCTATTATATATAAAGTTTTTATAACAAAAAGTATATTTTTAAGAAGATAAACTATAAGTACGTGCCTTAAGATCTTTGCATATGCAGACAACAGTAGATTAACTTCCTTGCTCATGTCTGTTAAAAAATCATTAAATAAGTTATACACGGAATGAAGCCTTCATTATAAAATCATTGTAATCTTTTTTTAGATAGATATAAGCAATTTATACATTACCATTCAAAGCCTTATCCAGGGTTTCATCTTTATAAAACAGGCCAACGTTTTCAAGGAATGCTGAATCTGATTTTCCAAGAGAAGAGCGCTGTGGACTATCTGGCATTTGAGGCTAACAGAAGAAAATAAAGATAACAGGCATAATAGTCAATAAGATCATGAGGACATATACACTCTATTTTTCTAAAAAGGGCAAAGAAAACACTTTCCAGAAAAATACATGTCAGAAATTATATATTCTAATGCTCTAATTAATCATATGAAATTTATTACCAAAGAAACATTTAGGCTCAAGAAGTACCTTGTTCAACCTACTGATTTTATCTTGGTTTTAAATAAGGATTTGCATACCATTTTCATTTCCCTAAAAAAAGATTTCCTGAAACAAAATGTGTATAAATTATTAGATGAGGAAAAAAGAAAAGTTTCTTATATTCTGAACAAGTTGATAGTTCTATAGCAATATAAAATAGAAAAATGTAGTTTAGACAACACCCAAATGTCTGCAAAATTTTCCAAAATATGATGTTTATGAGAGAAAACAGTATACCAAACAAAACAGATCAATTCCTAAGGTTAGTAGTGAAAAAGGGACAAGGTACTGTGACCTTTAAAAACAGAATCCCCACACAACTTATTATATAAAAATAACTATTTAAAGTCTTATGCATAATTAAGGCATTGACACTTCTGTATTGATGTGACATTTTAGAATTGAAAAAAATTTCTGATAGTTTCTTGGAGATTTCGTAGGGAGAAAAAAGAAGATGGAGTCAATATAGAAACTACTGAACACTTCTAAGAATACAAAAACATTAAACTTAGAATTATCAACAATACTTTTCTAAATGAAAAAAATTGAGGTATATAAAATAACATAAAAATATTAAGACTGCAAGGTTACTTACTTCCAACTCTCTTGGTCTCTTGCAGTTTCTAGTATCAGTATTCACAAGGTCGCTTGCCATCATATTTGAAAGGTATGAGCTGCAGTTTACAGCAAAGCCAAATTTAGGTACAAACTCTAGACTACACAGTTCTTGAACCCTTCTATTTGTAAACTTCCCTTTGTTTGCACTCCGATGGCCACTATTTTACTTTAGTTTCTCATCTGCCACCTAATTCAATTTCTCACTTTTCTAATTCATCCTACCAACTAGTGTTTATGTGACCTTTCAAAATTATGACTGCTCGGTTCGAATCCACCAGATGCTCTGCTGGAGAAGGAAGGACAATCTCCTCCTGTACAAGCCAGATCCGATTTGACCGTACACACACACACACAAAAAAAAATGACTGCATTCCTTTGACTGAAAATCCTTCATGTGAATTGCCTCCAGAATAAGCTAGTATTTCACGGCATTACATTCAAAGTGCTACAGCATCTAGTGCAAATGTACCACTGCCATCATTCTAAACAACTTCTTTGCACTCAAATTTATGTCTTTGGCACTTTTACGTCATTGCAGGGACGGCTGATTTGGGATTCTTTTATCTTCACAAAATTTTAATATTAAAGGAGATGGATTTTTTTTTCTTTTTTTTCCTTTTTTACTTACATTAAATACATCGGTAAATCAGCAGTTGCATTCTGTTACCACGATTGTTATGTTGGGAGAGGGAAAAAGGGGGGACAAAAAGGCAGATGCTTTCTTAGAAGAAAAAAATACCACCCAAAAAGACAACCCCCCTTAAAAAAAACAAAA